TGTTTTCGGGGGTAACAACGCCGAATATGAAGGCGGAAATAGTAGAGGGTTAGTAGGAAGATAGTTAGAGGAAAGATAGTGTGCAGGGAGGCAGCTTGTACCTGCGCACAAGACAACAACGAAGAGAGTGAGAGAGGGTGAAGGGTGAGCAGGAGAGGGGCACGTACCTGGGTTGCCGGCGGTCTGCAGGCTTGGCACGAGCATATGCTACGATAACTGCGGACTGTGTCTTCGGCGTGTGAGGATGAGCAACAGTTGAAGGACAAGGCTGCGAAAGCTGTGTCCGTGCGACAAACTGCGGTAGTTGACTTATATTTTCCTTCAGGTCTACTCTTGAGTGGCTGCGGCGTAGCGCTGTGCTATTACAAGGGCTGACAAGATTAAGACCTCCTTCCTGATCCTGAAGGTGTAGTGGAACATCAACTGTATGAGAAGAGGCATTGAGACTTAGAAGAGTGGGTAACCTATGCAAAGGGGGTTATTACTGTGATTCGGAGTGTCGCCGGGAAGACAATAGCTAGCGGATTGACTTCAGTTTGACCTAGCTGTTGACCATTTCGGCCACCATTACGAGGCCCTAAAGCGATGGAAGGTAACAAGGCCCTCTCCTGAGAGTTGAGTCAGTCCCTCCCTTGTATCTCGAGAGTCTCAAAACCCCTGCGTCTGCCCTTCTTACTCTAAGTCTAGTCTGTTGGTTCTGAGAGGAAGGCGGCAGGCGGGATTGCAACCCGTAAGACCGCAACAAGGCTCTATGGGGAGTCAACCCACCAATTGCGGGAGCTCTGCCGGAACGCAGGAGGACTTCTGGAGGCAGGGAACTGACAGGTAACCATTGCTTTCCTTTAATGAACCCAGTATAATCCCTATCTATACTACACATTGCCTCTCTTACTAAATATATGGTATGCAGCCCTACTTTGACCTTTGTGTGACTTTCAGGACACTGAATCAGACTAAGTAAAAGAATGTCTGCTCAATTTCAGTTTCAGCTTTGTTGATTGTGTGAAATCAGATTGTAAAAAGGAATTGCATCTGGGAAAGGCAGGATGGAGGGCTCATTTGCATGAGGTTTGACTGGGTCATTAAGGTTGGGAGGTTCCCATGAGTTGGGGAGACTCAGCGCTATGTTCATTTTGACTTGAGTGGAGCGTCAGACCCTTCTATAAGTTTAGGGGATCTGATTGCTCTGAAGGCTGGGAAGTCCCCATAAGTTTGGGGAGACCCAGTGTTGTGGTTCTACATGGAGGGTCAGACTGTTCTATAAGTTTGGGTGGCCTGACTGCTCTGACTTGTGAGGGTCGACTGTGGTTGACTTTTCAAGGACCAAATGCATTCTGTAAGTTCAGGTGCCTTGGTCGCCTTGTTTATTTTGGGTTTTCCCTTGTTTATTTGCTTTTGAACGAGGAGGTTTGAGTTGTTCTATAAGTTTAGGTGGCTTAGCCTCTTCCTGCATTTGTTCTAAGAAGATAAACCTAACAAAGGGCAGATTGTTTTGTAAGTTCAGGTGATCTAGCCCAATGCCACGCACATATTGGATCAGAGAGAAATAGATCAGGCAGAGAGTCAGACTGTTCTGTAAGTTCAGGTGGTCTGACTCAAAGCCTCGCACATGTTGGAACCCAATGGTTATAATTTGGCTGTACTTTACTATTATTCTATTTAAGAACGAGTTAATCAGACTGTTCTATAAGTTTAGGTGGTATGACTATAGCCTATCACAACTTGAAGAGAGTATAATTAAGAATAAAATTGATGGTAAGCTGGGCCAGACTGAACTTAAGTTAGTTCAGTCATATGCAGCCTTAGAAGACAGAGGAAAGACAGATATATATAACTTGGATATTTTAAGCAGTTCATGACGACTGGAGTGGTCTAGTCATATGCCCAAAGAAGAGAAAAGTAGTTGTGCCCTCTGTTTTGTGTATATTCAATGGCTAAGTTAGACGCATTCCATAAGTTTGGGTGGCATAACTCTATGCCTTATGTAAGCTTGTAAGGGGTTAAGTCATTGAAAGATTATAAACTATTGTCTGTCCAAATGAACTTCGGTTGGTGAGAGTACTTACCTTTGTGGTTTGGCCTGCATGTTGCTGAGTGAGATCACTACTTGGTCTGAGTTTCAGTTTGATAGGTAGTTGCTTTAGTCGTTCGCCACGTGCTAGAGCTATAAGAGTTAGTTTCAATTCCTGCATTTTCTGAGCTAAGTTTTTTTACTTAGATCAATTCTCGCATTTTCTGGGATCATTTTTTTGTACTTGGCTTTGTATAAATCTTGGCAAGCTACTTTCTCTACGGGAAGCACTGCCGAAATTTCTACAAATCCAAGGAGTTAGTCAATTGTTGACTTGTCAAAGTTCAACTTGTCTTTTCTTCATATCCGACCTAGTAAAAATCTGGAAAGTCTCATTTTCTAAAGGGAGTGCTACCCAAATTTTTACTAATTTAGGGAGTTAGACAAAATTTGACGTTCCAGAGTTAAAGATTATTTCTGCTTTCATATTTGGACTTATATAAATTTTGAAAAGCACTTTTCCTACGAGAAGCGCTGCCGAAAGTTTCTTAGTTTAGAGGAGATATATTATATTTTGACAGGTGGCGATTCTGGCGATCCACCCTGAATAGGGGAGACTCTGTCATTAGTCTACCTTTGCGTTGGACACTGGTTTAGAGGTAGGTTTAGGCTTAGTTAATTAGGATGCTTGAGTAGGATCGTGATATGGGGATTATTCATCATTGACTTATAGGTTTAGCCTGGGACATTGATCTGTCATGTGTTACAGGTCCTCTTGATCGTTTGATTCAAGATCCGGACTAGATTCAGCTTGATCCCTTGAGGGTCATCTTCTGTTATCATTGATAACAAGTCGGTTGCGGACCCGTCGGTTTACGATTCAACTCCAATTCACTCTCGTTACTCAACCTAAAGGCTTCAGCCTTGTGATTTGGATTGTTCTGTTGTATTTTCACCCGGACTTTATTTGAATGACCATTTAAAGAAAAGTACTGAGTATTTTGATTTGAGGAGTTGCACAAGAGTAAGGCTTGCACGGCTAAAGCGAGGGGTGTGAGTACAGAGAATGGTTGAAGTTGACCCCGTGTAGTGAATGCACTTTCTGGTTGAATCTTTGATGTGATTGCAGGTATGCTTGGTGATTCAGACTTGGGATTTGACTGCCTGCGCTGACATACATATATATATGGTTGAAAGGAGTCTCACTATGACTGTGAGAAGTGATCGTCCTATAACCCTCTACATATATGTGTATATATATGTCTTGAGTGTTTCGTGCGGCCTATTGTGACCGCGCATATGGGTTAAACAGATTATGTGTCTGAGAGAAAAGGGAGATCCCCTTTTATCCTTTGTTTTTTAGAGATTTTTTTAGTCGGACGTTGGTCTTGGGCCGGGATTCAAGGTCCTTGTCCAGGACATCCCAAGCCCTAGACTCTGCAGGTAAGGAATTTGCCCCCGTGAAGAGCCTATTTGCCTTGCCTACGGAGACGCTCAGACCAAAGGCCGGAGGTCTCGCGGCGGTTGCACGACTATTCCTTCAGCCGTGTAATATCATGAGGGACTAGATCCTCACGACACTTCGAGTCTGACACTTGAGTGTCATAAGCGGTACTCGAATCCACGAGGGACATCTTGATTATGGGCACTACATAGTACGCCATCATTGCGACTGCTTGCGTACGCTTGCATTGCGAATCAGTATGAATTAGCCCTGTGTCCACACGGTTTTATACCGAGTCTCGCGCGCGACGCCTATTCGATTTCTGCATCGGAAAGTTATGGGTTGGCTACCGAGGGGCTAGGAGCGTTGTCGCGTTGTTTTATGTTGTGTCGTTTCGTGTGTGTGTGTATTTTATTTTCGCGTTCGAAGAGAGGTGTATGCGTGGTATGTGGGATACGTCCTAGTTGACCGACGACGGACCGCGTTTGGGACTTCAGCCCCCCCAGTTGACGGTCCGCGTGCGGGTCCGATAGAGGCGTATTATCGCGCGTACCCCTTATGCTACAGCGAACGAGAAACGCCCTCGGCTGGTCCACCTCTGCGATTGCAACTGATCAACTTTCGTATTGTGGACTGGAAGCTCGGCGGGGATACGCCCACCGAAGGGAGGTGACAACTCTCGTAAGGTGGAGGTAAGACGTGCCTCGCGTAGGCCCTATCCTGTCGTAGGGGCTCGCGAGTGGTATGGCTGGCGCACTCGGCCGGAGCCGCTTTGTGGAAGCTCCATGTATATTCGCGACGAAGGGTTAAATCCAACTCTTGCGTGACGCGGCTGGGAGGGTCCCGTGCTGCCCCGTGCGGTGCCGGACCGATGTGCTCGACAGTGGCGATGGAGGTTTTCCAAAAAGATGAGAGTGTGAAACACATCTTCTGGATTCCTTGCGTCGCCCACATCATGGCCCTTATTCTCGAGGACATCGGCGGGATTGATTGGGTGGCTTCCCGCATTGTGCAAGCGAGGCTGGTTACAAGGTTCTTCAAGTGTCATGGACATGTGAGAGAGGTTCTTGAGGCGTACTCAAAGAAGACTCTCCTGCTGCCGGCGGAAACGCGTTTCGGCACGAACGCCATCATCATGACGAGGCTGGTGGAACTGCTGGCAGAGTTGACACAGGTTGAAGGCAACGATCGCTAGCGTGAGACTGTTTGGTCAACCAGCAAGATCCGCAAGGACGCCGCGGAGGTCACTGCGTGTATCGACTCCCCTCCATGGTGGGAGGATTTGAGAGTTTTGTGCAAGATGCTCGAGCCCATCATGGACATGCTGAGGTTGGTGGACAACGACACACGCCAGATCAGCAAGCTTCTGCGACTTTACGAGGATATGATTGCATCTTGTTTGTCTGCATGTCGTGACATTGATCAGGACCAGCAAGATGCTATTGTGGATGTGTTCCTCAGGCGGCGCACCATGTTCAAGACCCCCGCCCACACGGCAGCCATGATGCTAGATCCAGAGTTCTGGACGCGACGCTGCGTGATGATGCGGAGGTGCAACAGGCCTTGGTCGAGGCCCTGGTCCAGTTCGGCTACCCAGAGGGATCGCCGCAGCACCGGGAGGTCTAACGAGCGGTCGCCAAGCTCCACACGAGGAAACCTCCTTTCGATGAGCTCACCATGCGGCGAGCTATGGATACCTTCGATCACCCTGCCATTTTTTGGTCATCGAAGAAGGCGAAGTTCCCTCACACGACCGTGTTTGCAAGCACGATCCTTCATATTTGGGCGACCGCATCACCGTGCGAGAGAGCCTGGTCTCATTGGAACTTCATTCATTCGAAATCTCACAAGAGGTTGGAGGTTCCCCGGGCAGAGAAGCTTGTGCGGTGCCACTGGAACCTCAGGCTACTCGATCGACCTTCGTTGTGCGACGATGGTGCTGGAGAGAGGTCCGTCATCTTCGGGAAATGGGTGCATTATTGGCAGGCCGTGGAGGACGAGGCGGTCGTGGACCAGCAGCTCGTCAGAGGCACCGGGGTGTTGGCAAAGGTGACTGAGGAGGAGTTGAGCCTCGCCAGAGAGAGGATGCGCGCCGTTTCCCACATGGGAGCCGAGCGTCGGGTGGCGGAGTCGGACAGGAGGCGACGCAAGGCCGAAGGTCGGGAACGTGGCGGCCGTGGACGAGCAGGTGTGGGAGGACTGACATGTGGCGATGTGCGTTCCGCTTCTCGGACTCGGCGACAACGGGCAAACGGTTACATTCGCTGGGCCCGCATGCGTTGGGACGAGGGAGACTTCTTGTTCGACAGCACATCCAGGGACGACGACGATTTCTTTGCGTTGGGCACACATGCGGCCACAGATGATGATAGAGGCGACGGTGATGACAGAGGCGATGGTGGAAGCGGGGTTGATGACGACAGGGGCGATGGTGATGGTGGCGGAGGCGATGGTGGAGGCGATGGTGACGACGGAGGTGATGGTGACGGTCCTGGCGGCACTTACGGGGCAGGTGACGGTGGATGCGAGGGCGTACGACGTGATGGTGGTGACAGAGGCGGGGGCAGTGGAGGCGATAGCGGAGGGGGGGGGGGGGGGGGGGGGGGGGGGGGGGTGATGAGGGGGGAGATGGTGGAGGCGGTGAGGGGGGGGGTGATGGTGGAGGGAGCGGGTGCGGTAGCGACAGGGTTGAGGAGTGTGTGGACGACGATGTTTTGCCTGGTGGTCGCATCGTTTTCAAGCAGTTGAGACGCGGGGGCAGACGGGATGACAAAATTGTGTCTCGTGTGAGAAGACGTCGTGTCCTCATTGCGACCGACACGGGGGCACGTGTCATGCGGCAGGACCCGGTTGTTGTGTCAGAGGACGACATGGGAGATCCTTCGAACGAGATGCGGCGTGACGTGGTTCACGTAGAGGCGCAAGCCTCGCCCGTAGTGGCGATGGTGACGAAGGAGGATAGTGGAGTCAGGATCACTCATCCCTGGTCACCAGCGCCGGTTGTTGGCACTAAGAAGGAGACGGAGTTTGGAGGACCCGGTCCACTCTAACAGGCGAAGACCCGATCCACTCCACCAGGCGCCCCAGTCCACTCCACAGGAGCGGGTTTGGAGGACGGCGAGGCGCAACTTGAGCCGCCTCCTCCCACCAGTGACGGCGGTGTAGAGGATTGTGGTTGCACCTACTCCCACTTGTGGACACGACGGGGAGGACAAACGTCCTCCAACGGGCCACCATGTCGGCCTCGACTGCCCGCCCGGCAGTCTTCCGAGCACCGACGAGTTACTGACCATGGATTCCGCCTTGGCATTTCTGCCCGATGTATCTCTTTCGATATCTCCCACTTTGGCAGTTGTGGCACCACCAGAGCCTGCTCGACGAGATGACACTCGTCGTGACAGAGGGGTTGACGAGTTCGGCGGCGACACGATACTGCATCCCTAAGAGTCCGGCACTCCCACCATTTTTCATGTGGGTGCACCGTGGGCGGTGGAGCAGGGGTTGGTGGAGGAGGTGGCACGGAACCGTCGTGGTGGACCGCCCGTAGCAGCGCAACGTAGCCTGGGAGGTTCACTGGAGGCAGCGTCTGCAAATTTTGTGGCGCACGAGGGTCATGGTTCACAGCAGTTATCGGACGACGTGTCATCAGTCCATCCACCGGACGAGGGCCCGCAGCGAGAGCCACATCGAGGCCCAACGGAGACTTTAGAGGTGAGACCTCACGAAGTTATCCGCTCAGACGGAGGCAAGGGCGTGGGCCAGGATACGGTGCAGCCAGAGAGCGCAGATGCTGGACGGTCCTTCGGGGGGGTCATCGAGCGCAGAGGATCATCGACTGCACACCCCAGCATTGTTAGGCCTAGCTCACATGACGTTGGAGACGGGCACACAGATGAGCCTCAACCGCATCTGATGGGGATGTGTGACATCATGCGTCCACCACCCTCACGCCCCCCTGCCGCTGACCCCGCCGCCCACGGGCAGGCCGCGTAGAGCGCATTGCCTACGAGGTCTTTCTACGACAGTGCGGGCATGGACCAGAGGG